CATTTTAGTTAATATTTTTAATCTGACAAGAGGTGTCACTGAAAATTCAAAAAATAGATGAGGTGTCCTTGAAGATATGGTAAAATAGAGAGGATGCAGTTGAACTTTTCCCTTAATTTTATTGCATTGGAAGGCCACGATCACTGACACATGTTTACTCTGTAATATCGTACAACGCATGATTAATATTTTTTGTTTTTAAACTTTGGTATTTGGAAAGTAAAATCTAGAATGGTCATAACGAATCCTTACTCTTTGAGCATCACTCAATCACACGTTTTTTATTGTTTATATAATGGAATGGATTGAAATTTTTATGCTAATGTTTGTTCAATCAAATGTCTCGATTTTTATATTGCATCGTACATTCAGACACGGGTTATTATTAGTGTATATATATATATATATATATATATTAGTGATAACCCGTATTATATATATATATATATACACACACATATTTTTGGGCTAAAAAATAATAGGTATGTAATAAAAAAAACATATACGTAATAAAAAATAACAAGTACGTAATAAAAAAACATAAAATACGTGGGCTCATTCTATCGATCCAACCCAACATACAATGATCGATAGGTCTCCGAACAAATGGACTGGACCATGGGGAAAATGGATACCCGACAATAACGTTGAAAAGAGTATAGCAATTGCAGTTTGATGCATGTCGTATCCCACACCCACACCAATTGCCCCGCCCCCCAAAAAAAAAAAATTGAAAAATGATATAGATGAAACAGTGTGACCAAATTCAAGAACTTAATTGAAAATTTAATAAAAAATTTAGTCGTGAGTTTTAAAATTATATGAAGTCTCCTATCAATTTAAGAAATGTCAACCCTCACCTCCCGAAAAGTATAAAAAATCAAAATAAAGAAAAATAAAAGCGACACACATTAAATAATCTATTAGAATGGACATCAAAATTAATGATATTCATTGATAATTTAATAGTAATATGAAGTGCTTTGGCACCATTCCCAAAAAAAAATGCTTTGTCTGGTCAAGTCTCTAAATTAAATTTAAAAAATATTACTATTTTTTTAAATTCAAAAGGTCAAGGGAAGAGAAATGCAAGGTTGCTGGACAGAGAGAGAGAGAGAGAGATTGGTTGTCCAGCCGGAAGAAGAGTTAGTTGTCCTAGTATGTCTTTCCCGGGCTTTTTGCCGCCATTAAACAAAACAACCATTCATTCCTCAAAAGAAATCTAAATACCTTGTTTATTCTCTCTCTCTCTCTCTCCCTCTTCCTTACACCAACAGTGACCAACTTTCCATTTTTTCCAATCAAACATGCACCCCACGTTCCACAGCTCAAAAAAAGTAAACCGCAGAATCTCCAGAATCAGAAAAACCCTTTCCATTTCTTCTTTAGCCTCTCATTTCGGAGAAGGGTTTTTTTTTTTTCTTTAATCCCTGTTTTCCATTTTTGAACAAAGATTACCTCATTTTTCCTTCCTTGTACAGGGATTTCATGATTGCCATTAATCTTCATTTTTTCTCTGTCCAAATGTTGAAATTATCAGTGAAAAACCTTAGGAATTGATCGTATAATGGTTAAAGAAGAAACACAAGATTCAGAAATCGACTTCTTTTCAATTTTAAGAAGATGTTTGATTTTTCAGGACGACAAGCGCACAGTTTAATCTTGGAGAATGGAGATGATAAAGGGGTTGTGGATGTGCAATTCAGAAGTCAAGGTGCAAGACCTGTTGCATTAGATTCCCAACATGTAGGTACTGTTTTCAATCGATCAAACGATAAGGGTCCAATTTCGCGCTTCAGCAAGGATGGAGATAGAGCAGGCGGTCCCCATGGGCAGGACCGGCAAGTTTCTGGTAGTTGCACTAGTTTTTACAACTCATCCAATCAATATGTTGTTACAAAATTCTCTAGTGCAGCTATATGATGAAATTAACATTTGATACAATGAAGAAATCTCTTATGTTGTTTTGGAAAATTCTGAATTGATTAGGAACATGTTCACAAATTTCATGACATCTGAATATTGTCAACCATCCCAGGAATCTCATTTACCTTTTTGTTTTGAGCATTAGATATCGAGTTGATGAAGGAAAGGTTTGCTAAGCTGCTTTTGGGGAGGACAATTCCGGTGGTGGGAAGGGTGTTTCATCTGCTTTAGCTTTGTCAAACGCCATTACAAATCTTGCTGGTAAGCTTGAGAAAAAAAAACCTCTTACAATACGATGAGTCAATAATGTGAAAGGCTATTGGTGAAGAAACATATGGATTAATAATCCAAGAGGTTTATATCTATTTTTCTAAAATATGTGGTGGTTCTTTATTGTTCTCCATACCTTCCATAATTTCTCTCTGAACAGGGGTCCTTGTCCTTGTCCTTGTCCTTGCTGTAAATACTATGCCGTTCATGTAAAAAAAACTAGCAAAGTGTGGGAAATTCTGATAAATTTGCCATGTATCTTCTCTGTCAACTCTATTGTAGCTTCTGTATTTGGAGAACAAAGGAAGTTGGAGCCTATGTCTGCAGATAGGAAAGTAAGGTGGAGAAAAGAAATCGATTGGCTCTTATCTGTTACGGATTACATTGTTGAATTTGTCCCTTCTCAACAGAGATCAAAGGATGGAACAAATATGGAGGTCAAATCTCTCTCTCTCTCTCTCTCTCTCTCCCTCCCCCCCCCCCAAAAAAAAAAAAAAAAAAAAAGAAAAAGAAAAAAAAAAGATCCTATTCTGTCATATTCATCAACTGAAAACTTCAATTGGAACTCTCTTCTGCCGGACATTCTCTTATGATATTAACATATTATAGACCTTGGCAAATGTTCCTAAATTTGGCAGATAATGATAACTCAGCAAAGAAGAGATCTGCTCATGAACATCCCGGCTTTGCGCAAGCTTGATGCAATGCTTATTGTGAGAACTTGCAGTCTCCTTTTATGTCATTGTTACAGTAACATATTTTTATGGGCTATATCATATGTGATTCTGATCAAATGATCACGAACAGGACTGTCTTGACAACTTCAAAGAACACAATGAATTCTGGTATGTCTCAAGAGATGCTGATGAGTCTGAAAAAGGCATCCAAAGAAATGACAAATGGTGGCTACCCACAGTTAAGGTTCCCCCAAATGGGCTATCAGATGCATCACGGAAATGGCTTCAATATCAAAAGGAATGTGTCAACCAAGTCTTGAAAGCATCCATGGCTATCAATGCTCAGATACTATCAGAAATGGAGGTCCCCGAAAACTACATTGAATCTCTCCCTAAGGTATAACAAGAAAGAAGTCTACTTCTCAGAGACATGTCCAAGTTTAATGCCAAACTTCGTTTAATCTTTTCTGTTATTTGTTTTGGTAGAATGGTAGATCAAGCCTTGGTGATTCAATCTACAAGAGCATTACGGTTGAGTTTTTTGCACCTGAGCAATTCCTTTCAACCATGGACATGTCATCAGAGCATAAAATTCTTGACCTCAAGAACAGAATTGAGGCATCTATTGTGATTTGGAGGAGGAAGATGCACCAAAAGGACACAAAGTCTTCTTGGGGTTCTGCCGTGAGCGTAGAGAAGAGGGAGCTCTTTGAAGAGAGAGCAGAGACCATCTTACTCCTACTCAAACAACGTTTTCCAGGACTTCCTCAATCCGCACTTGACATAAGTAAAATCCAATATAACGGAGTAAGAACAAACAAACTGCAGGAGGGATCTTTTTTGGCTCAGTTGCACACACAGATTTATATCTAAGATAAATAAGACTGAAGCCTTGTTAATTTTCTTCTGAACTACTTAGGATGTCGGGCATTCGATTCTGGAGAGCTATTCAAGGGTACTAGAAAGCTTGGCCAATACAGTCATGTCTCGTATTGAAGATGTCCTGTATGTTGATTCTCTCACTCAAGATCCATCACTTCCAGTATCCAGAAAGAAGCTGTCAATGGACTCCTCACCATCACCACAACCACAACCACCGAGTTCCATCAGTTCCATGGAAGAGACAGAAAAGTTGAATTCTGCAGATACGCCGACATCAATGACACTATCCGACTTCATGGGTTGGAATCTGGAGCAGGGAGACACAGGCATGAAAAAGAATCTCTCAACTAGTAACTTAACCTTACAGGATGAAAACAAACTAGGTAACATTGTGACCAACAAGAAGTTTTCGTACATTGATAAACTCGAGAATGGCCTAAGAAGTCCAACTGCTCGCCATTAATAGTTAGAAGCAGAAAGAGAAAGGAGAAAGATACAGCAAGAGAAGGATGGATTAACAAGGAGAGGCAATATCTTTAGTAGTAGAGAGATTTCCCTAATGAATGTAAATACCGAGTTTTAAAGGAGTTAATTGGGTTATTATTCCCTTTGCTGTTCTTCCTTCCTTCTGTGGATAAGCAAGTTTGAGCTATCAATGTTTGGTCTGATTAGTTTACTTCATCTATCTTTGTGGTTTTAGCTGCAGTTATATGTTTATTTTCAATCCTTGTTTTCTTCTTGTTTTCCGCCTTTTCCTGAGGGCAGCCCTTCACGATGTGGTAAGGTTGATCTTCATGGTCACCTGGGGATTGAGGGTTCGAGTAGTGGAAATAGCCTCTCCCAAGTGCCTCGTGCACAAGACTGCCCTTTATTTCCTGCCTTTTTCGTCTTGCAGAATTAATGCAACTTATCCCTTCTTACTTCCCTGCACCTTGAAGAAACAGTTTACCATCTATACTGACCAGGCTAGTAGCTTTATCTTAAGTTCAAAAGAAGTAGGATAATTTTAGTTATACAGTACAATCAGAAATTATTTTCCAATGGTTAACAAAGCAAGTTTCTGTCTTGTGATAATCCAGAACAGTTTCGATGGGTGGAGAATTGCTTCATTACTCTATGCTGCTGCAACCTGAAACTTTACAAGATCATCTGCTAGATCTGTTTTTCATACACAGGTTTATAAACTTAATATTGCAAGCTTGCTTCTGGGTACAAAAGGTACATATAATACTTGGGATTACAGTCTTTCTACTAACTTAGTGCCCACTGGTCTCCAACTAAGTTGATTACAAGAAAGATGAAGCAACTATCCAAATTGAAACAACTATCCATTAAAGAACTACTCCACACCTGTGGACCCCTGAAATGACTAGAAGAAAACCACCAGACAGTCTCCAAATAATTTAGATTCGTTTACCACGTCGGATGAGTGATATGATGTCATTGCTCTGCACTAATTTCCAATTTAACATGTTGCGTTTGAGCTTTCGTTTCTCCTACAACAAGGAAAATCAAGAACGTTAGGAATAAGAACCATATTTTATTGTCTGCAGGTACAACAAAGAAACAAGAGATTTAATTCACCTGGAAATGGAAAGATTGAGCTCTTGGAAGTATGGATGGGCCACCGCAAACAGGCAATAACACTATGAAATAAAAAGGAAAGGCTATTAAGATCCGAATGAAAATTATGTATATGTAACTTCCTCCGTGTCAAAAACAGTTATGTCCTAGCTTCTGGTTGATGTAAATTGTTCTACCTGGAGCTGAGCAGCTATCTTTCTTCTCGGCATCACTATCCCTTCTTGAAGTAACAACTAAAGATGGAACACAATTGTTTCTGTATAAGAAAATTGGCACTTCCTCTTCTGTCTCAATTACATGCTTGCTAGTGTCTTTATCAGCAGCTGAGATACCTGATTCCCTGCACTGACCCAAGCTCATTAGAACCATTCAACCTCAAGCTCCTATGCTTCGTACATCGCTGTTCAACTATGGTATCAAGTTCGTTGTGACCAAAATTTTCTGCTTCATGTGCCATCATGGAACGATAGCACAATACCTGCGCTTGAGGTCACAATGACAAATTCCGATTATTTCCCATGACTTCATATTGGAGAGAGGGGGGAGAGGAAGTTACCTGTAGACTTCAGCTGATCTCTGAAGATCTGGAATGACTGATTTAGAGAAGTATATTGAAAAAAGAAGTACAACAAAATTGCATTAAGCCAACTCACAAGTTATATGAACTGAGCACTAAGCAGATTGAGAAAAGGGAAATGGATTGATTACGTGTTGATATATAGCGAGGATGATATCTTGGAAAATCGGGTTTGCAACATACTTTAGTCAGAGCAAGCTTCTCAAAAAATTCTTGGCATGTGGTAAGTCTCTAAGGAACACCATAACAAGTTTAATGATAATTAACAACCCCCCAACAATTGTAATAGCATTAACAAGTTCCATGATAGTTAACAACTCCACAACAATTGTAAACTTCTTAGACTTCGCAAAAGCTTGTAACTGCATTTGGTAAATCAGTAGAGAGTGCTAACTTGTTTCAAACAGTCAATCCGGAGTTCTGTTTCAGAAACTTGATTGCTCTCAGAAAGCCTATAATCAAGATTAGCTGAGACACATCCCAGATGATCAACAACTGTGACAACAGCCCTGCACAGGTACTCTTTGGTGTTTTCCAATACACTGCATACAACAAGAGAAAAAAAAGTACCAAATCTATAAATCTGCTCATGATGAACTTCTACTACTCAACAAAGCATTGTACAAACTCAACTCAACCTCATGAATTTCTAATGTCCCTATACAAGTCAGTTCTAAAACTCTGTTTTTTTGCATCATACAACAGATTCAATTTCATGAAATTAACGGTGGGTTGAGGCCTTTTGAATATGGAAAATGCTATTTGGACCTGATTTGGGAACCTAATATAGGGACCTAATTCAATACAACCATTGGATTGGTTGTGGGCTCCATTTAGCATTGAAACTCACAACTAATCTAATGGTTGTATTGAAGCCACATCATTTTTTTTTTGAAGTCACATCATTAAATCCCTAAATAAGGTCCTATAACATTGCTCTTTGAATATTGATACTTTGCTTTTGAAATGAAAGTTGAAAATGGTGGCACTGGCTTCCCTCTATGTATGTCTTAAGAGTTCTGTTTGTGTCTCCATTTCTCTTACTAGAAATTGCAATGCCACTTGAATTTAGGTTTTTCTGCAAGCTGTATATGATAGGCTCAATGAACATAAAGCTTAATTGTAGAGCTAGGAAACTGAAACTGAAACTGATCTGTCAATGTTTGGACAACTTTGTGCTAAATACATGTATAATCACAACCTAAAGGTTCACAAGGTTTTAAAGTTCTTTGGGACCTTTTTGACAATATCAGCTTACGACAACCTAGTTCAAACTCATTAACAATTTCAACAGTTAGTGACACAAAATGGTGGTGGTTTGTACGTCTTGGGACACTTACATTCTCTTCTTTTTCGCGGTCAAGAAGGCCTCTTCGCAGTAATCAGCAGCATAGTAAAGCTGAGAACGCAAGTCTCTAAGTTCCTGCAACAAGAAGAAAACAAAATGAAATGAAACGATTAACAGAAGATGTGGCAATGCAATACAGAGAAGTGAGTTTTCTGAGACATATGATCGACTAACTTGAAGGGAATTGTCAAAGCGTTTTTCACTGTCAGACACTGCTTGTGGGTATTCATGGACAATTGATTTAGAGTCCTGCATTCTCTCTCTCTCTCTCCAGAGTAAACTTGAAGATAAAAATGGAACTGAAGAAACTAAATCTTACTACTTTCTTCCTTATCTATTTATCTGAAATTGTGGGTGTCACTGAATGCTCTTCCTCTAAGTGTATACGTGTGTGTGTGTGTGTGTGAGAGAGAGAGAGAGAGAGAGAGAGAGAGATTGGAGCTAGTCTCGTGATTCTATAGTTCTGTGAAGAGTGACAGAAAGAAGAAAGAAACAACCAAAGCACATTAAAAAGAGATTCGTCTTTGAAGTTTATAGACCATGACACGTACGAGAAAGACAACAAATTGTCAGCCCCGTGCTTTTGTGTTTGTTCGATTGGGTTTAAATTTGCGTACAATGTTACATGTGAGACCTTTGGATAGATCCAGATCCGGGACGTTATAACGGGTCCTCCTGACTCAATGACGGTAGCTTTACCTGATGGAATCGATAACGCAACTGATTGATATGTGAGCACAATAAGGTCCTTTTAACTGAATTTGTTTTTATTGTATATCTCTTGTGATAAAAAAAAAAATTGAATTTGTTTTTAGGTATGAACATGGAAATGGAGACACTTTTCACCTCATTGTTTTGTTTGATATGAATGATAGAAAGTATCATAAATATATTTTTTATTTTTTAAGAAAAAAAAATAAGAATTATATATATATATATATATATATATATATATATATATATATATATTGTGTTTGATTGGATGGATAGAAAAAAAAATGACTAATTTTTTTTTTGTACCGGCTAAGATTAGGGGTGGCAATCGAGTCATGTCGTGTCAAATTTGTGTTGAGTCATTATGAGTTTGTGTCGAATATTAGTCAAACCTAACTCAACTCATTTAATTAATTGTGTCGTGTAAAGTTGACCTGTTTATTTTTGTGTCGTATTCGCGTTGACCCCCATAAGTTTTGAATCAAAAATTTAACACTAATATTATATTTTCACTTAATTTAATCCATGTTAATATTTTTTCTACAAACTAAAAATTAACTTAAATAAATATAATAATAATAAGTAAAAATATATTTTTTATATAATAATTATGTCAGTGTTTAATAAATAGTTACAAATAATTAACATTTTATGTCTATAATACTAGTTAAATATGTTAGTTTCGTGTTATCTTACAAACGAGAAAATAGAGAAAATGCTTATTTTTAAATAAATGGATTGATGATGTCATTTTTGAGTTTGACTGGTTGAACTGAATATGAGCCTTTCATATTTCTTGTTTACGTGTTAGGTCATTTTCAAGTTCGTATCGAGTTATAATCAAGTTCGTGTCATAAAATTCGTGTTAAATTTGAGTCGTGTCATCGTGTTAAGTCAAAAATTTTCACTCCCTAGTTAAGATGGAAAAAAATATTTTTTAATTTAAAATTTTCATTTTTATTTTGAAATTTATTTTTAATTTTTTTAAAAATATAAATAAAAATATATTTTATCATTTTATTTTTATATGAAATTAATATATATATATAATATATATATTAAAAGATATATAGACAAATAAAATAAATCTTAGCACAAATAATTAATTTTTGATCGCTTTTTTTCTGATTTTGGTAAGTTGGAAGCAAAAGCAATTCATCCACTTTTTCATCATTCTTATTTTCCTTCATTATCAAACATGATATTTTATGTATTCTTTCAACTTTTCATCCTTCAATTTTTCCATTCTTCTATTTTTTCATCTACCAAACGGCGCATAAAGAACATGGCAAAGGCCATTCATTTCATTTCATACATTTTATTTTCTCCTCGAAAAATTCTTTTAAAAGTATATTTTTTTATATATCATTTTCATCAAATTAAAAATATGAAATTTAATGTTACATTTTTTTTTTTTTGGATAACCCAGGAAAACCCCACCTACCGAGCTCACTTGAAACCGTGACAAGTAGTCAACTTGTGCCCACGCGCAAACGTTAAATCTAAGGAAGGTGGCTCTAAGGAGCATTTTCACTCTGTGAAGTATCAAATCATTAAACAATGCCAGCTTAAGACATCTATTAATGTTACGTTTTAAGCGGGCATTGTAGAAGTTTTTGATCTACATATATGTTAAGATTATAATTACTAAGGTTCATAAAATAGTATGAGATAGATTAGACTTGTAAATTAATCGTGTCGGGTGAGATAGGTTTATATCGAATTTTAATAAATTTCTATCAAAAAAACAATTTATTGATATCTTATTTGTGTCAAATGAATCGTGTCATATCAAGTTCGTGTCGTATATGAAACATGTATAACCTATATATAAATGGTTATTTTTTTAATTGGTTTCACATAAATGTAATTTATTTATTAATTATGTCGTGTTGGGTCTGCTATTTTACAAAATAGATGACTTAAGGAATACTTCAATCCTCTAATTTGATATCGCATTTGTGTTGTGTTAACGGATTGTGTTAACGTGGAAAGAATTGCAAAGAAGTTGCAAGGTTGGAAATAAAAGTTTTTGTCTCAGGAAGGAAGAAAGTGTTAATTAAAGCCGTAGTGCAAGCACCTAGCTCCTCCCTATGCAGTGTCTTGTGTAGCTTTTCCTTGAAGGGTGTGCTAGAAGATTAATCAGGATATTAGGCGATTCTGGTGGGGCAGCAGTGAGGATAAAAAAGAAGATCCATTAACAGAATTGGGAGAAAATGACTGAAGCTAAAGCAACTGGTGGAATGAGTTCCAAAGATTTTGGGTATTTAATTTTAATACAGTTCTATTGGCTAAGCAATGTTGGAGATTGATTACTAATCCGAACTCTTTCTAGACTAGAATGATGAAGGCTATCTATTTCCCGATGAAAATTTCATGAAAGCAAAAAGAAGGTCTAGACCGTCATGGATATGGACTAGCCTTTTGAAACGGAGAGAGTTATTGGAAAAAGGACTGATTTGAAAGGTCAATAAGTGAGAATGATCTATTTTGAGAGGATAAGTGATTATCCTCTTCATATAACTTAAAGGTTGTAACTGCTCGAACTCCAAAATGCAACCTTACAAAAGTGAGTGAATTCATTGATCAAACCACTAGAGAATGGAATTTGGGTTTGTCGATGAGCTGGGTGGTGAGGGAGGATTGGGAAGCAGTTATTAAAATCCCTTTTGCAAAAATCCAGGGAAAAGATAAGAGAATATGGGCTTTAAACCCAAATGGGAAGTTCTCAGTCTAGAATCGGTATCATGTCGAGTGGAATATGGAGCTGAGAAGGACCTCTGAAGCGGAATCATCATCACATCTACCCCACCCAAAGTTACGGCATTTAATCTAGAACTTGAAGACAGTCCCAAAGATAAGACACTTCTGGCGGAAGGTGTGCTTTGAAGCTATGGCTACTCAGAAAAATTTGTTTAGGAGGATGTGTAGATTCTCTTATGTGCCAAATTTGCAACTTGAAAAAGGAAACAATAGAGCATATGCTTTTCAAATGTGAGAGGACCCAGAGAATTTGGATTGAGATGGACCTTAACTATATGGTGGATAGAGGTGCTTTGAGTTCAGTAAAGAGATGGACATCAACCTAAATGGAAGAAATGGATAATCTGGCTTCTTCTATTGATCTGATCAGTAGAATTGCCATGGTGGGATGATAAATTTGAAAAGGGAGAAATGAGGTCATTTTTTAGCAAGTTTAACCCAACTCCTTAGCCACGATGAAACGAGCTCAACAAGCATGGGGTGAGTTTCAAGGGACTGCAAATACCGATCAAGAGCCACAACATCCGTTGGTGGTTAATATGGCTCGCTCATCCTATCACTGTGAAGCAAAATTTGCTAAGTATTGGATTTTTCACCCACCAATAGAAAACGTGAGTCAGGTTTAGACTGAAAAATGTTAGTTACATCCTACTGATGAAAGTGTTGCAATAATAATTCAATTTAATATGAAAAGAACTGTTGATTCGCACAATTAATCATCGCACTTGGTTGAAAAGTTAGTGGCGCAAAGTCATCTTACGTTAAATTGGGATTGAACGTCTCTAAATCAGAATCTGCGTTAAATGCGAGCATCCGTCGCCCGTTTGCCAACCAATAATAGTGGTCATTTGGCCCCCTACAGGCATGTGTCTTTGGCCAAGCCCACGTGATCTACTATCTCAAGGTTTGTGTCTCGAAGCCTAGTGAAGCTCAACTGTGATGGGGCTTTCAATGGAAGGAGCAACTTGGCAGCAGTGGGTATTGTCTTCAAGGATAGAGAGGTGATCTCCTTGAGGGAATGTCAAAAATAATTCTTGTGGTTTCCAGCTTATTTTCAAAGACTTTTGTCGCGAGAGAAGAAATAGAATCTGCTCCACACATAGTCAAGAGTGATAATAAGAATGTGATCGTATTGAGTTCAAATGAAGATGACCCTCTTTGGAAAATTGATATTTCGACACAAGATATTAGAGTTTTTAAAAAAAAGTTACACTTGTACTTTTATTTCAAACTTAGACTATATGATATGATTGTTCATAGGATCGTAATCAAGTCTATGTCCAATTCACTTTCTTTGGATTGGGTTAATTGTCCATCAGTTAAGTTAAAGTCTATTTTATTTCATTATTGTAATTGTTTAGATTCAGGTTAATATGAATATAGGTATGTTTTATTAAAAAAAAAAAAAATTCTTGTAGAGACCAATACGAAGTTATGAACAATACACACAATCGTGTTCCGTGTGATTGTGCGAAAACACGTGTAAGTCGCAAGTCGGTTCCTATTTCCAGTCCGGTCGTCTGCCCTTTTTGTAGTGATCATAAAGTTCTCTAGTCCACCTGAGTTAAGGTAGGTGTAAAGTAGAGTACCATTCATTCCTCATATTTGACTTTTCTTCAACTTTTATCCAATAAGCATCCACTGACCCTCTCTCTCAAAAATTTATGCAACATCCCCTCAATGTCACAGAAACTTCCCCTTAGTTTCACAATTGACTCTCTCTGTCTCTCTAAATTTCCCCCTTAGTTTCACAGAAACATTCCCTTAGTTTCACAATTGACTCTCTCTCTCTCTCTCACACACACAGAGAAGATGTAGTACAATAAGGTCGGATTGTTCCTATCCATCCAATTTTTCTTTCAGTGATAGATGGACCCATCTGAGGGTGCTATTGGTTGTGCAATCGGAACATAGAGCTAAAAAGCGCCGAAGTTGAAAGAATTGAGGTATCTATCGGTGCATCCAAAACAAATAATTCAACAAGTTTTTTTGTCAAAATATATTCAAATGTAGAAAGTTGATATTTAAAATGACTGGCTACAATTTCGGGGTTTCTTTGTGCTACAATCTCATTTTTGTGAGTTAAAGTTATCGCAATTTTTGTCCGTTGTTCTTTTATTGTCTGTATGACAACATAATTAAAGATGAATCGGCTATAGTCATTACAAATAATAACACAATTTTACATTGTAAATGAGAATATATGCATTATATACATATGAATATCCATAAAAAAATTTTGTAATTTCCCTTTCACGATTTATCACATTTTTAAATATAATTTTTATATTATATAGAATATCACTATATCCCTTTTAACTTGTATATTCCTTTACAAATTACTTACACCATCTGATAAGGATGATATTGCCATAACTTCTTTCCATTATTCTAATATTATACATATTATATCACTTCAAGGGTGACTCAAACTAATTTGAGGCCTAAAGTAAAAATATTAAATTGAGGCATTTTTATTTTTAGTATTATTTAAAAAAAAAATTAATTTAGTTTTAATTTTTTATGTGAGAGAGAGATAAAATAAGGATATATTAATAATATCGAGAAAGAGATTTCAACTTTTATTTTTGTTTTTTACTACAGAGAGGGAGAAAATATTTAATTTTAACTTTTACTTTTGTTTTTTATTTTTTTTTCAGGGGGAGAGAGAGAGAGAGAGTGAGTGAGAGTAAATATGAGTTGATTTTTGAGTTTTTATTTATTTTTTTTATTTTTAAGTTTTTAATGTTATGGATTGGATTATAGACCCAAATTATTGTAATAAAAATTTTGATTGAATTTAATTTTTTGAGGTTTTTTTTGTAGGATTTAAAATTTAATGGATTTAATTTTTTTATAAGTTAATGATATACCTAAAATTATGGGGCATTCTAAAAACTTGGGCCCAATCGCCCATACTTTTTTTTTCCATACTGTTGGGCTGACCCTTTATCACTTTAATACCCAAAAAACACTGTATTAAAAATAAAGTAAGAAAAAATAAAAAACAAAACATTGAGTCTTCGAATGGAAAAATATGTTAGTTACATTTTAAATGTTATAAATACAAATTATTTGGATATTATTTATGGCTAATTTTACTTTGTACCCTAAAAAAGTATTAATTTTTAATTTACACTCTTAAAGAATTGGATTCTCATGCTCAAATTGCATCCTCAATCCTTAATTTCACTCTTGAATTGGGCTACATTGTATTTATTTTATAATGTTGGCGGCGTAATTTGAAAATTTAATTCTTTAAGGATATAAATTAAAAATTAAAGCACCCTATTATTTATAGAGCAATGTTATATGTACTTAAAAATTAGACTAGATAATTTCAATCATTGATTTCACTGTAGGTCCCAGGATTTATTGGGACCTAGTACCTATTCAATGGTTGAGATTATCAAGTCTAATTTTTAAGTTTACGTAGCATTATTCTTATTTATAACTCAATTATTGTTGGGCAAAAAAGTAAAAAAAATGATTGTTAATTAGAATAATCGATGCGGGGTCTCAATGTAATTTTCGCATATATATATTCACGGATGTGAAGCTAAATTCTCTTCTTATGAGAAACGAATACGCTCCGATTCTGGTTATTTTGGAGACCGGTTCGAGCACAGAAAATGGCAGAGGTTAAAGTGACGATGGAGGTCGGAAACGACGGCGTTGCGATCATCACCATCTCCAACCCTCCCGTCAACGCCTTAGCTCTCCCGAGTACTCGCTCTCTCTCTCGCTCTCTATTTTTAGTGTGTATTGTATAGATGCATAGTTTTCGTTGCAGTAGTTGATGTGTTTATGATTTGTAGTACTCGCGGGGTTGAAGGAGAAATATACTGAGGCGATGAGGAGAGACGATGTTAAAGCAATTGTGCTGACTGGTAATTCTTAAATTCAGCTGTTTTTGTTTCATTTGATTGTGCTTTTGGTTATTAGCCAACTGTTTTTGTTTCATTTGATTATGATTTGATGATTAGTCAACGGTTTTTGATTCATTTGATCATGATTTGATGATTAGTCAACTGTAAATTATTATCATAGCAGACTATTTTGAAGTTTTTTGATGATTAGTCAGCTGTTTTTGTTTCATTTGATTGTGCTTTGGTTATTATGGAGGCACAGAAAATCTTGACTTAAGTATCATATTTTTTTCTCATAAAAGAACGAAATTAACTGGATTCTGATTTCTTTTTTGGTTCTTTTCGATTGAAGGCAAAGGTGGAAGGTTTTCAGGTGGTTTCGACATCAATGTTTTTCAGACTGTTCACAAGACAGGTACGACTACTTTTGCTTCCGTGCAGTCGGGGCCCGTGCCCTGTGGTATGCCTAAAATTGTGTATTGATGATTGGGAAGTTCATTTTATTGTTTTGTATTGGCAGGGGATCGTTCTCGTCTGCCTGATGTATCTGTGGATCTCGTTTGCAACACAATTGAAGGTCTGTAGACTGTAACTCACACCTCACTTGTTTGGGTAGTTTGAACTCACAATTTCTATATTTTTATGCTGCTCCTTGAAAGTTCGTTTGTCATTTTAGAAAGCTTGTTTTACTTATGAGATTGTGTATCTTCTTGTCTTCCTAACTTCAGATGCAAAGAAGCCTTCTGTTGCTGCCGTTGAAGGACTTGCACTTGGAGGAGGCCTTGAATTGGCAATGGTGTGTAGTTAATGTGCTAAAGAAGCAGGTTTCCAAACTTCATAATGAGTGATTGCATGATTCCCGATTTTCTCCTTCTGCAGGGATGCCATGCACGGATTGCCGCACCAAAAGCTCAACTTGGCTTGCCAGAACTGACACTTGGAGTTATGCCTGGCTTCGGAGGTACAACTTCTACTTAACAATGTTATATTTGACTCCTCCTTATAGATATTTTCCCCACCGAGCGGAGAATTCGAGCATGAATTTTTTTTCAGCATAAACTGACTGAATGAACATATTGTTTGTCAGGCACACAACGTCTTCCAAGGCTGTTAGGGTTGTCAAAAGCAGTTGAAATGATGCTGGTAATTTATCTTTTGCTATTAAACTGGATACATTGACTGTAGACTATTATTTATAATTCTTTCTTTCTTGTTCTTCTTGATATTCAGTCTGTTATTATTACATCAATTTTAAAGCTAGTAAAATAGTAAATAATCACTCTCTACTAGGCTGATAGTTTCAACTAGAAAATCACAGTGGTAGACAATGTTTCACAGTTGTTGCTTTAGATTGCTTTTTCCCTGCTTATTACGTGGTGATATCAAGTTTACGCAAACTCTTATTCAAGTGAATTAGATATAGCTGCAGGCAATGCAATGCACTTGAATGTCCGTGAGCACTAAGTATACATCTGTCTAAATCATTTTATTTCCTTGTTCATGGTTATTTCTGCCTTAATGTTCATCCCAATTATTTGACTATAAGTTATGATTTGTGTATCCATGTGTGTTAGTGCATAAAAGTTTTCTAAGAGAGAAGATATAAGATTTGTATTAATCTGAAGGATTTTTAATAGTCCAATGTCTGTCCTATCAACAAATAATGATAATAATAATCCATTTTCTGCAGTTATTGCTGTGGAATAGAAAACCGTGTTTAAAAATTTCATTTGTCTTTGGCTTGTATGCAGCAGATGTAAATTATAACCTTAAGGTGCCTTTGGACAAGATTTTCCTTCTTGAATATGAAAGCGGAACCATCAAATGACTTAAGAAACTATATGACACTTCTAAGTGCAAATGTTCTGTTAGAAATATGAAACAACCATTATTCTCATTTGGTGTCTGAAAATTTTCAGCTTTGAACCGTATCCTCTACTATTTTCCTGTTCTCGATATGGGTTAGATTGCACTATTAAAGGCCTGCATGATCCAGTTTTTTGGCTGGAATGTTAATTCAGCATCACAACTACTGTTTTTTTTTGTAGTTATCTAAACCAATAATGTCCGAAGAAGGGAAGAAGCTAGGTCTTATTGATGATGTGGTATCTTCTGAAGAGTTGTTGAAAGTAGCACGGAAATGGGCATTAGCCATTGCAGAGAGGCGCAAACCTTGGATTCGTTCTCTTTACAGAACAGACAAGCTAGGCTCGCTATCGGAGGCACGTGATATACTGAAGATGGCACGACAACAAGCCAAACAGACTGCTCCAAATATGCCTCAGCACCAGGCATGCCTTGACGTAATCGAGGAAGGCATTATTCATGGAGGATATAATGGCGTTTTGAAGGTACTTTGGTTTTGGGGTTTGATATGTTTGTTAGATATTGACTAATTGTTTTCATCTCATAAAGACATTTATTCTGTTTCATTTTAAAATTCTGAAGGAAAATTCTAAATTCATTGCCTAATAGCACCTGCAGATATGAATATATGATTGTGTATTATCTAAATTTATTTCTGAGAAAAATACTACCTACCATACAAGATAATATACTGTATACTTTTGCAGGAGGCGGAAGATTTCAAAGAACTGGTCCTATCAGACACTTCTAAAGGTCTTGTTCATGTTTTTTTTGCCCAACGTACAACGTCAAAGGTACAACAATAGATCCACTACTAACATAGTTCCAATTTTTGATTACTTCCTCAGAAATGTGATGACCTCCACATCCCCTTTTTTTTAACAGATACCTAATGTTACTGACATTGGGCTCAAACCAAGGCCTATAAAGAAAGTTGCTGTAATTGGTGGAGGTCTAATGGGTTCTGGCATAGCTACAGCTCTTATACTGAGCAACATATATGTTGTTCTTAAGGAAATTAATTCTGAATATCTTCTGAAGGGGATAAAAGCGATAGAAGGTAGTTAATTGTTTAATATAGAGGGATATTATTTGTACATCGATAATTACACCTCTGATCTTGATGTCTTCCTGTATACTTTGATGAACTCTTTGTCCTTCTTGTAATATTTTTATCCTTAATAATATTTTGTTGCTCATATATATATATATATATATATATATATAAAAGAACTCACTAAGTTTTCATCTGTGTAATATTTTTAGTTCGAGAATCATGTTTATATACCTTATGTGACAGCAAATGTCCAAGGCTTGATAACAAGAAAAAAGTTGGCAAAGGATAAAGGGGAAAAATCCCTCACGATGCTTAAAGGTGTACTGGACTACTCAGAATTTAAAGATGTGGACATGGTCATAGAGGTGTGTTTTTAGTTATTTATTTCTTTTATTTTACTTAGTCTTTTATTTTTCTTAGTTGTATTTATTTCTTTGTTTAATTGTTCTCTTTGGGGAAAGGTTGGACTTCATTTTTTGGTGAGGTGGAAAAAGCAAATAAGTGTACTTAAGTGCAAACCTGAGTTCTTGTGTTTGTTTTTTGCTTATGACTACTTTTCTTCTTGTCAATAGCTTTTATTCTTTGGATATTTGAAAAATTCATATTTATTGATGATGTGCATGATTAAAATTTTGCTCACTGCAATTGTTCAAAATTGTTTGATAAATTATCTCTCAATTGCAGGCTGTCATTGAAAATGTTTCCCTAAAACAAACAATATTTCGTGAAATTGAGAAGGCTTGCCCTGCCCATTGTATTTTGGCCAGCAACACATCTACTATTGACCTCAACATAGTTGGAGAAAAAACCAGCTCTCAAGATCGCATTGTTGGGGCACATTTTTTCAGGTACTATCAATTGTAATCTGTCTTTGAAACAAATGGGAAAACTTTATGTTTTTTTCCTGACCCTGTGATAGTAATTGTTTAATTGATGTTGTTGGCTCAAACTAGAAGACAAACCTTTCTTTACACATCCTCATTTATGATGTTCACCCTATGTTTTATTTTTCTAGTGCATGTTATCTATAACAATTCAGAATTTGGTTAGGAATGATTTTGTGGTTTTCAGTGCTGACATGATCCTAATGTAAACAGTCCTGCTCATGTGATGCCTCTCCTGGAGATTGTACGGACAGAGAAGACTTCTGCACAAGTAATACTTGATCTTATGACAGTGGGGAAAACCATAAAGAAAGTACCTGTAGTGGTGGGAAACTGCACCGGCTTTGCTGTCAATCGAACCTTCTTTCCATACAATCAGGGTGCGCATATTTTGGTCCATTTAGGTGTGGACGTGTTCAGAATTGACGAGTTGATCAGCAATTTTGGTCTCCCTATGGGCCCCTTCCAGTAATCTTCTTTCTTTGATGAACTTGGTTTCCTTTTTAACAAGTCTTCTCCACTTTTGACATTATATATGTAACCGCATGTCTTCATGTATGTGCATGTATGTCAGAAAGCATGGATATGCCTCTCGTGGGACTATCCTTTCAAAATTCATTGGGAGTGATTAAATGGCATGAGAGGACGGACATGGCATTTTATGCCATGCTAACACTGTTGGTGTGCTTTAAAAATCCAGCAACATGCATTAGCATGGTCCTCTGATGTCAACAGAAACAACAAATTAAGCTAATACATGAGGTCTTTCCCCACATCTATGCTGCAATTTAGCAATCTGTGCTCCAATTTTCGTGTTTGTCTTGTATGGTTCTGCTATACTTGGGTGATGAATTACATCTGCACATGAGGGAGCCTAGAGGAATCGGGAATGGGGGCAAAGGTCAAATGAACACACACACACACACACATGCAGACACACACATAGCAGTTACGAGTACAGGGTACTGTGGATTCCATGTACTGATGATATGCCTATACTATAGAAGGAAAATACAGACAAAGAGGAGAAAAGGGCAAAGCCTAAGCTCAGTCTGTGGCTATTATCTGCTGCTTCTTCGTTTATGTATGGCTTGGTCCCTTTCGCGGTAGTAAGTGGACTGGAGGACGGCTGCAAATTACGTGCCCTGTATGGATATAGAGGGAGCCCAAGATGGCAGGCCGGCAAATTAAATGGATGGATAGTAATAAATCTGCCATGTGTTTGGGGGTACATACAGAAACTCCATCTCTTGTCATTATGCCAAATTGCAGTTGCATGAGAACCACACCTTGACAAGCCTTTGACCCAAGCAACCTATCCTCATACCCTCAAGGATTCCTGGTTATGGAGACAGTGACACTGATATTTCTACACATAGAGAGAGAGAGAGAGAGTTTTTTGTGAGGAAGACGTTATTTTGAAGAATGCACTAGTTCTGAGAGAAACCATGACTACGACATCAATTGAGCTATATATTAAAGGAAAAAGAAGACTTGTGTGTCAATTACTTGAACTTGGGAGAAAATATGATTCCCGTACTCAATTATTCGATCAGACATCACTTCGATGTCAAATGCAATAATTGTATGAGAAAACATGATTGCCAAATCAACACTAAACTTGATTCTGCTAGTTTAGAAACTAAGGAGAAGGACAGGAGACAGGGGCTGCTAGGTCAGAAACGCAACAACTATAAATTCTCTCCAAGTAAAATTTGAACCTACGACCAGTCAGTCAACAATTGACTGCTTTACCACTGAGATCTGATTCAGTTGAATATGTTTGCAGGCTTCAGGATTTAGCTGGATATGGAGTAGCTATGGCAGTAGGGAAACAATTTGCTACTGCCTTTCCTGATCGGACATTCCAATCTCCCTTGGTTGACCTTCTTATAAAAAATGGTCGAAATGGTAATGATGGATTAATTTTTGATCTGTATCATTGCTGTCTGCATCAGGTGTCTAACATATGACACATGCTAATTTCGCAGGTAAAAATAATGGGAAGGGATACTACCTTTATGAGAAGGGAAGCAAGCCTCAACCTGATTTTTCCGTACTGCCAATTATAGAGGAGTCAAGAAGGCTCACCAAAATTATGCCTGGAGGAAAGGTACTGCTTTTCAATCAGAACGGATTTTGCAGTAGCGAAACATGATTGATTTTGCATTAGCGAAACATGATTGCCATACTTTTATTGTTATGGGAGCACAAAACATGCATGTAGTATGTGTTTGATTGTCACTAATGTGCCAGCTGGAATATGATTGGCAGCCTTTATCTGTGACTGATCAAGAAATCGTGGAGATGATACTCTTTCCAGTGGTGAATGAGGCATGTCGTGTTTTAGATGAAGGCGTAGTAGTTCGAGCATCAGACCTTGATGTTGCATCTGTTCTTGGCATGAGTTTCCCTTCTTACCGGTGAGTGATGCAAGAGAATCATCTTCTGTATTTTTCCAAAAAAATAAGATTTTCTTCTTTTTGGTTATTCTCCTTACGGTCTTTGCTGCTCCAAACTGTAGCTTTCAGTTGGTAGCATCACCACAAGCTGGGTATGCCATAATACTATGAATTCCAAGTCCTGTTTATGTAGCATAATGCATATATGGACTCATGATGGCTTATGTATTTGTATCAATTTATAGCAAATTATATTACTATATACTTGAGCCTGGTGTATGGTACAGTACTTGCCATTATTATACACTTCAATATGCTGCAGTTATAATTTTATTTGAGCCTATGAAATGTGATTAGTTTGATAATTTTTTTTAGTGATTAGACTGCCAGGGGAATTCTCTACCGAACACTAAACCGTTGAACAATACTTAGTACTTGAAATTTTAACTTTTTGACTCATTTACAGACCTGGAAAGTAGTTCAAGTACAATTTTTGGATAGAAACCTACACTTCTATGTTTGGGTGGAGGGAGAGGCGTTGGAGGGAATGACACCAGTGAACTGTTTTATTATCATCACCCTGGTTGATATAAACTTTGACCTTTTTTGTAACCCTGGAGCTGTTTATACGGTGGTGCACATTGGTGAAGTATAGAAAATTTTTTGTTGAGCTGTTATATCTTTTTGTTGGCAGGGGTGGAATCGTTTTTTGGGCGGACTTAGTTGGGGCTAACCATATATATACAAGTCTGAAGAAGTGGTCCGAGGTGTATGGCAACTTCTATAAGCCTTCAAGGTTTTTGGAAGAAAGAGCAACAAAAGGCATTCCATTGGTAAGAACGACATCTTGTTCTTCCTTCTCTTTTCTTTGCTGGATCATCGCTTGATAAATTTGCGATACACTTCCTTGTCCTCTGATCACATTCCATGAAATCTTCATGGTTGGTTGACACGGGGTTAATCCCGTCTCTTGATGGTCAATTTTCTGATTTACGTCGTTGTCTCTCTCTCTCTCTCTCTCTCTCTCACACACACACACGAACACGTGCACACACTCAACGCAACACGCACACATTACAATTTGTCTCAACTCCTAACGTTCTTTCTTTTGATACAGAGTGCACCTGCTTCGACATCTTCAGCTTCAAGGTCACGCCTGTAGGCGATATGCTTTCTCTGTTCAAGGTCTAAACCATGCCAAGTGTTATGGAACTATTTATGGAAAATAGAACTGTTTGTCCACCAGCTTTATAGAATCTTTGATTGCTATATGAGAATCCAGATTAACAAAATGTTCTCTCTCTCTCTCTCTCTCTCTCTGCGTGTGTGAGAGCCGAGTTCTCTCCTAACTGAAGGAGATAGTGACTCACCAACAGAGCCAGGAATGATCGACGGCCAAATGGCACAATAAATAGAAGTCATATTCCGTGTATCTGACATTTGTAAGAAGATGCAAGGCTGAAGTTATTCTGTCATGAAGTAAGGTTTCACGAACCGTTGGAACCCACCAGTTTGAGCTGTAAGTGACACATAGTGCCTAAATCAAGTCACTCGGAAATGCAATAACAGGACGCAAGGAAATCACTGGTTTTTTATAGAATTAATTTGATAATCAAAAATTTGTAGTACATAAGAACAAATTTATTGTAAAGATCAAAATCCTAGATGATGCATAACGGACTAAAATCCTAATTATAGGAAAGTTATTAAAAAGAATAAAAATGCAAGACGTGCATAACTTAAAAAAAAATTGACATGATTTAAACAACTAATCATTCTAAAATAAAATATTCCTAATATTCAAAATAATAAGAATAAAAGTATATATAAAGAAATTACCAATCTTGTCCTACATCGCTTGATCCTTTATATTTCACACCATTTTTTACCCCCCAAAAAAAAAAAAAAAAAAAAAAACTGAGACACAAAAAATAAAAATTCGAGCTCTATTTAATTTTTCGTATTACAAAACAATATTCGAAAAATATTTTTGAGAAAAGTTTAAAAAAAATTTGTTTGTTATTTTTTGTGTCGCATAACTTGTTTAATTTATGTGATTCTAAAAATAATTCTATGGAATAGACAACAATAAAACTAGTTTCAAAGTGTGTTGATGATAATGGTGTTGGGAGTGTGGTGGTGGTGGTAGTGGTTGTGATATTTTCTAAATTCCGAAAAAGTGGTTTCAAAAAATACACAAAACAACCTTAACTTATTTTTTAAATCTACCCACTTTTTGTTTTCAATTTTAAAAAAATAAAAACAAAAAACAACTGGTTAAATAACTTTTCCTCCAAAAACTGTTTCTGAAATCAAAAAAATAGTTTCTGAGATGAAAAAAATAAAACTAACATGGTATCACAAGTCTTCAGTTAGTACACCACACTTGTAATATCAGCGTTAATAGAATTACTGTGTTCCTTGACAACGTAAATAGGAAAAGTGACATCTACGATATACAAGGTAAGCTGGTGGTTCGTATGCAATTGATATCACCTTAAGAATCCATGTGACTTGGAGTTTTCAGAAACTGTTAAACTGTAATGGAAACTGAAAAATCGATTCAATTGTTATTAATGAATTAGGTAAGAAATGGATCAGACTATGATCAGTTCTAACAATGAGGCCCAAGTATAATATTGCAGCTGCATCGAAGAAAAGCCGAATGAACAATTGCCTACTATTACGAAGTTGCAGAAGCATAAATTTACCCGAGTCTTGTCCTAAATCTCTTTACATCCCTGTTTCCGTCTTTGGTATTCGATCCCCATTTTCCGCAGGAGGGGAAGTTTTCAAAGGCGCATCATTATTAGAAGCAGCTGCAGTCACCATCTGAGATGTTTTGGGAGTAGGTTGAATGGCAGATTTTGAAACACCATTGCTAAACGCCCTAGCATTTGCTGTGGCGCCATTGGCGACTGGGTCTTTTTGACCTCCTGATTCAGTTCGCGCCAGTGAAGAACACTTCATTTCTGTAATGTGGAGTGGATAAGCGCCATTAGTTTCAAGTCAACAAGATATGCCAAGATAAAACAAAAAAATACTCATATTCATGAAAAATGCAGATCATGCCAGCTAACCAATCCTAGGAAGCAAGCTGAAAAAGTCCTTTCTTCTCCATCACTATGATGCAATGGCTTCAGCTCGTAGCAATTTGAATGTTTAAAATGGACCAGGCATCATCAAAAGAAGCATGCCACATCACGTGTTAGACTGCTTGTCTGTGTCCAAGTTGAAGGATTGCAATGAAAATTATGACTTTCGTTGTTAGTATCAGATTGTCCTGGCGAGCATGTAGTAATGAAAATATTCCAATGGTATATAATCATCTCCATACTACACATAATTTGTGCTGTCAATGAAATGGGAGTAAGTTTACATTCTTGAGTTCTGCCCTATCTAACTTGTTCCGCTAGCCAGAAACATAATCTGAAGTTTTTGGTGCTTCTTTTGGCAAATCTGGTTTGGGGTTTTGTGTTGCAAATGATGATTTCATGAGTTCAAGAAAACTTGGCCCTAACGATTTCCATTCATAGTTCAAAATTCAATTTCAAAAATCACAGAATGAAAAGAACGAGAAACTTGCCTTTTATTTCTCCTAAAGTGATGAGTCTGTTAAGACAATCACGTATCTTTGTCAAAACAACTCTCTCTTGCTCTGGATATGCTTCAGTCATGCCTTGCGCATCTGGCAACTGAAAAGAGCCATGGCCCATTAACCCATTAGGGGAAGCAGCACTGGAAAACATTGTATCTTGTTCATCACACATCAAGGCCAGTGTTCCTGGGGACATTGGCCTTCCTTTCGATACATCAACACCATCTGTACTGGACTCATCAAATCCGATTTTCTCAGCCTGGTTCCCACTTGAACAATCATCTGTCACTGCTTCCTCAACATTAGAAACCTTCTGACCCTCTAACCGGTCCTGAGTTGATGAAACAAAAGATGTTTTTCTACGATTTTCAGCCTGCTTTTCTGCAGCATTTCTTTCTTCTGGAATTATTAGAGTACAGATTTCAGATGATTAATTGAAGGATTGAAGCCAAAAACAAAGATGCATTGGCTATTTAGGTACCACAACTACATAGCCTGTGTCTTGGATATCACTACACATATCAACAATTTACCTGTGACCATCTTGGCAGCTTCTCCAGAGTATACCACCAAAACTGAGCAAAGCTCCTTCAAGTCCTGTGGCTGGATGATATCTGCTAAGAGAGACCTGCAACCATACTACAAAAGTTAGTTCTATAAATGAGTACTTAAAACAAAAACTGCGACAAGTGCAATAATCTCTACCTGTATGTGAATTTTGAAGGGCCCAATGCTGCACTGTTACCAGCACAAGGTCCCGGACTTGAAGACAATGGTGCAGAAGCCTTCATATGATTTGCCTGTTAACATTGAAAACATGTTTTTCAAATACTAGCATGAGTTGTCAGGGCTATCCATGTGACAGGGCGTGTAAAGCCCAGTTAATTTTTTTGGTTCGAGTCACTATTGGGTCATGTCCTGTCCCATGAACGTGTCAGGCAAGAACGGGCCATGGATTGCGGTAACAAGTGTTACCAGGTGGACTATTTGAGAATTGGGCCAGGCCAATCTGCAAACTGTTTTTAAAATTAAAAAATAGTGAAAACACACCCTACACGTAATTTATAATTCGAAAATGTAGAACATATAACTTATTTCTTGTATAACATAAAATTGTAATTTTTAATTTCTATCTTATAGATTATGACTCATTACTTACGTATGTAACATATGAATTAAAATTTAAAATTGTAACTAATAACGGAGTATTGGAAGGTTTTATTGGTGGGTTTCGGCCAGCTCATGAACCTGGAACAATGACATGGTTCATTAGTGGGCCATGTAGGCCTTTTTTTGGGCTACAGCCTGGCTTCCGGCTAGGACAAATAGCCCAGCCGTGTACAGCTGCAGGAGCTGTGAAGCCAAAGACAGATTTGAATTGAGTTTATGGATATTGAGGCACAAAAATATCAGCTGAAAACAAGATAAATGATATGCATGGAAGTTTTACCACACACTGATAAAATTCAAGCGTTCTTCGCACAAGTCCAAGATTATAGTGGCTAACATGACTGAGAGCTGTTTTGAGTCTGTTAGTCTTTATGGTTGGACGACTTGTTCAACTTTGCTGAAATGATGTAACCTTTCATTTTACTTATTAATAAGATTATTGTTTCTCATCAAAATAACATGAAGAAGAAGAAACATATGTAGCTCTTAGTTACTGATTTTTCAACAACTACCAATTCATAAGTATGCCTAATTTACAGGTGCCAAGACCAAAATGCACCTGTTGGTATGGTGAAAGCCTGTGAACGGATGGATCTCTTCCTGTTGAACCAAAGAAGAGCTCCTGACCTTTCCTTTTCTTGCTTATTGGAGGGGAGCCATAACCAGATGATCCAATAGCACCTGTGATGGCAGCATTCGCTGCCTGCTGGATATACACCATGTTATTGGCATGATCTCCATGGAAGAGAGCCTGTCTCTCTTCACTTCCTTCAAAATTCTTGCAGTCCATGCATTTACAATTTTCAGAGCAAAGAATGTTGGCTTGGAAGCACTCACAGTACTTTTTGAGGCATCCCGATTTTTTGCAATGGCATCCTTTATTATGCTTTCCCAACACAACTTCCCCAGCCTCCTCCTACATGTATTCCAAACAATCCACACATAAGTCAAAAGAAGCAAACACTAGATTGTAAGAGTATCCAATCCAAAACCAATTGACAATGAATAGAGTGGCCCCTCAATTATATAAACCAGCTTTGGTAGTTCTAATCTAATTATTCAATGTAGGATACAAACTCTCTTAACTCCCTCTCTCACGTGGAACCTAGGCTCGCACTAGGGGTCAACAAACAAACAAACAACCATGCATACCAGGAAATTCAAATGGGTAAGGATTTGGCCCACTAACCACGCAAGACCTAGCTTTGATATAATCAAGGATCGAAATTTCGTTTCGAAATACCGTTTCGGTCAGCTAAAAAATGGAAACGTTTCGTAAACGTAGAAAAAATATGGAAACACATAAAAACACAAATACAATCCATTAATTTATAAAGATAAGCTAAATAATTAATTAATTCAACATATTTATTGGGTTAACATCTATTTATACAAGAATAAATTTAAATTTGAGGGAAAAAAAGGCTTGACATGAGACGAAAATCACTTAAATTAGTTTCAAACACTTAATTTTTATGAAATAAACACATTTTTACATAATATTAAGGTTTTATAATACACATAAAATGCTAATGAGTACATACTTACATGGCTACATCCATCCCCTGTGGAGTGTCGAGCAGGCTCATACATCGGTGTAGGCTTTGGGTAGCTACTTAGAGAAACTCTATATGTGATATAAATATGATGACAATAATTACTCCAACTTATATTATTACGGTAATATTATTCAATTAATAATACTATTTTATTATAATACTAATAATGAAGGGTATCAAATTAAATTAATGGTACTTATGTATACTTAAAAATTAAATGTATTTGCAGTGGGTATTAAATATAATTACATTAGAGTATTAAATGTAATTGTTAATACTTATAACGAAAAAAAAAAAAAAAATACTTGCACAGCAATTAAATATAATTACATTAGAGTATTAAATGTAATTGTTAATACTTATAACAAAAAAAAAAAAAGCAAAATACTTGCACAGCAGTGGGGTATTAAATATAATTACAGTAGGTATTAAATATAATTACAATGGGTATTAAATATAATTATGGTAGGGTATTAAGCGTAATTATTTATTCTTATAATAAAAAAATTATAAAAGGTAGAAGAGCAATGGGAATTAAATGTAATTATAGTGGGATATTAAATATAATTATAGTGGGTATTAAATGTAATTACAATGGGTATTAAATATAATAATAGTGGGGTATTAAATGTAATTATTCATAGTGAACTGAATATATCAATATTTCGTTGAAACGGTCCGAAACAGTGCCGTTTCGACCCAAACAGTACCGTTTTAACCGAAACACTGGAATTTTGTGATTCAACTACTATTTCGTTTCGAAGTGTTGAAATTCCGAAACATTTCGGACGTTTTGGACGTGTCGACACGACATTTTGATCCTTGGATATAATGTTAGAACATCCAACCCAAAACCAATTGACAATGAGTAGAGTGGCTCCTCAAGTATGTAAACCAACTTTGGTGGTCTTAATTATTCGATATGAGATACAAGCTCTCTTAACATAGATAATGTGTTAAGTACACCTAGTAAAGGGACCAGTAAAATTTATTAGGTGAGGACTACTTTGAAAACCATCTTAACCAGGATCTTTTTCCTTTATAAGTAGCAGCCTAACAGTAATTTGTTTCATGTAATGTCAAACATTGACCGAAGATATACAAGCAAGCTGTGAACTGAATTTCAAAAAACGAGTACTTGGTAAATCATCTCTTAATTTTGTTCCAATCCTTAAAAAGCATAGAATTCTTAGTCAATGTTGCATTCTTCGGAGCAAATTTTGAAGTTCAAAGGTCTATAGAAAAGTTGGAGGTAAAAGGACAAGACCTGAATACATTCTACTATATTGTAGATTGAATCAACCTTGTCTATAAGAACCTTAATGGTTAATACGAGGGTAGTAACCTTTTGATGGAGGGCTACATAAGAATTGCATCATTGCAGAAAAAATTAGGCTAGTTTTGTGAACGAGCAAAGAAGGTATTCGTAAATTGCAAAAAGTAGGAATAGTAAGACTTAGTATGAATATGAAGCAAAAATGTCTCAATCCTCTAGTTCATTAACAATTGTGAAAGATCCAATAATAATCAATTATTAAATTTCTTTGATCTACATTAACAATAAATTTGCTCAAAATTATGCAATGCCAACAAAAACAATCACACTTGAGAACTTGATTCTGAGGGCAATGGACTACTTCTACAAAATTAAATGTATCTATGTCATAAAAAAATTTCCTAATTTCCTCTTTATATATTATCATCAGCGTTCCTAGAATGTGTATGTATTTCGTCATCCTACCATAAGAGGATTTTTCCTTAAAAAGTATTACCTTTTCTAAATAACTATTAGCAGTTGATTTCTCATAAAATCATTTAAGCTACAGTGCAACAATGCAAAAGAACTCAACAAAAGTTCGACATTTATAGTTTGGAGTATCTGCACTTTCTCAAGCATAATGACACAAGAATATCAGCACCACTCTAGCAAATATTGAAGACATGCACTTTGATTCAAGTTTAAGCACTAAAAAAAGGAACACTATCTCGAACCTAAATTTTCTAAGGATATGATGATCACAGAAGCCCTAAAATCAAAATTCTTGGTCCAACGAATATCATTGGCCATCGACTTGGTGGACACGGGGGCACATCAGTCACCACATCACCACATAGTATTGAGCAATACGCAAGGAATGCTAGATAGAAGTTTGGTATGATGAGATATTCAGGTCATATCGTGACATCATGGTTGAGATGTCGGAGACGTCTTCCTAGTGAACGTCAAATTGAGTGGGACTCGTGGTTTACACGAAGTGCTATCGAAACAGAAAATGACAACTTGGTTATCCGAGTGGTGTTGCTATCAGTCTATATTTTGAACTATAAGATCAATAGTGATGTTAAGCAAACCCCGTAAGGATGGAATCAAACTATAACAAAATATCAGACATAAATAGCACTTTATTTTCAAAGACAAAATTGATGCTAAGAAGGAAGGTAATCCTTAAACTATTTGAAATATTCAATTCATTTAGAAAACATACCCTACGATCACGAGTTCCATGTGGACTGCTAGCAATTTTAGGCCTGAATGCATTTGGATTACGCTCTAAGGTAGCTTCAACAGCTTCTCGCCTGGCAGCATCATTTTCAACATTGTTATGACAATTCACGCAGTTACACCCATCGCAGTATACACCAGATGCAAAGCACTCACAATACCTGACATCAATTGACAAAATTAGCTTGCAAGATTATTGAGATTTTATAGCAGCTAATAAGTTGCATGCTGTTTGTACAAGTATTTACGCAAGAAAACTAACAATGTTGAGAATATTAAGCAATCCCAAATTAATGAATGTCCTCTCTGATTGCCTAGCAGCTACCACAGGCACAGATATTGTCAAAAAATGAGCACATATCACTTAGTATAGCTTGATTTAGTAGCAAAAATTGATTCTTTGTTCCACAATTTCAAGCAAAACATTAGTACAATGACACATATTACTCTATAAGATTCCCTTACAAAATAAACAAGGCTAAAAAAAGAAAATTTGCATGAAGTGATTAGTCTTCAGTACAATTATCTATACATAACTAAGATATATGTCAATGACATTGTAGCCGGTAAAAGCAACAAGGACTATGTTATCCTATATAAATTCCAAGTAAAATCTAAATTATTTGCACAAAATGACTGCCAAAAAAGATGCACCTGCATTCTCACAATTGACAGCTCAAGCTTTTATTATTGCATCAAGGACTGAGATATAATTGCAAGCCAAAATTTACTCAAGAGATTTTAGCTACACCAAGTCAAACATCATACTAGTTCTTTGATGCAGTGCTTTGCAATATCAAAAGTGCACCCAGAGAGCTATGTACTTACAACTTCAAGCAACGTGAGTGTTTACAATTGCACTGCTTTTGCTTCTTTGGAGTACCATCTTTTACATCAACATTTGGTCTTTGTCGTGCTCTAGGGGATTCCGGTTTCCTGAAGAGACAAAAGCATTGGGGATGAAATTCATTGAAGATAAGAACGTCCAGTTACATCACTAACAAAGGGAACTGAGAACAGAATTAGGCAATGAATCAGGAAGAGGAAGCTGCACTTGCAAAAGAGAATAAAGATGTCTGCCCCATCTGATATCATATACCAAGGAGGAATATGTTCATTTTCACAGACCTAATTCTCAAACTTTATAATCGATAGACTACCAAATATTCAAACAGATCCAAACTCCAAGGAAGAAATTTTTTTTGGTAGCACACCCTGTGACAAAACATCAAACACACTTTCAAGAGCAAAATGCAAAATTCCTAGCCCCTCCTGCCAATCCAATGAAAAAAGAACAAAAAAACTTTCTCCTCTTGCTCCAAGCTAAACCGAACACTCTTTCATATGTACTCAGAACACCATTCCTAAAAAATTATAGGTTCGAATGTCCAAATTTAAGATCTCACCAATTGTTGAATTGGAAGAAAAAAAATTCGGTTGTATCTAACAGGTTTCAAAAAAAACTGCAAAACCTTGAAATCGGTTCGGAGACTCAACACAAACCCTTAAAAGTTGTTCATAAATTTGAAATCTTTTAACTTACAAGATCAAACCTCTCAAACGAATTTTGTAATTATGACATAAAACAGAAACTAATTAAAGGATAGCAAATAGTTACATGGGCCGTATCGTAGGATAAGGTGGCGCCTGAGCTTGTTCCATCGGTGCCAACAGTATCAGTTGCTGTTGCTGTGACTGTATCTGAGGTCGTGGCTGTAACTGTGGCAGTGGCTTCGGTGCCGGCAAAGCCTGCGGAGTCGGCTTCGGCTGCTGAGGGTGCTCCGGCAACGCCACAGTCGCCGCCGATGCACCACCATAACCGGTAAAATCCAGCTGCCTCGCTAGCTTTTTCGCCGGAAAATCCGACGAAGCCGTCGACCCCGACTGAACCTGTTTTGGAGGGAAATCCCCTCCTTCACCTTTCTCCATCCAAAATCAAATAAATACCAAACTTTACCAACAAAGTTTCAAATTTTTGGATAAAATTAAACTCAAATTCACTCCAATAACCACAGGAATTTTACAAATCCCCCAAAATTCATCAAATTTCTCAAAAACCGGCCCAAAACATAATTTGAAATCCAAAAATCTCTCATTACACAGCTCAGATTCACCAGGAAAAAATCCAAATGCTGTCTGGAAACCTTCGCAGAGAGTCCGAATCAACAAAACCTCGATCTATACAAGCATATAAATATATATGTATATGCATATGCCTGTACGCCTGTGCTCGTAAACAGAGAGAGAGAAGACAGAGAAAATTTGCTGAGATGCGCAAAGAGAGAGAGAGAGAGGGATGAGAGAAAGAGAAGCAAATACGCTTCTTGTGTCGCTCCTCCCTCTCGAGCTTTTGAAATTGAAATTTTGTAAATATTGGACGGTAAGATTGGCGTGACAATATAATCCGACGGTAAATATGGAACGGGTTAATCCAACGGTTTGAATTCATAGAAGAGTCTATGGCCGTAGCTGGACCGTACGATTAAGGAAGACATATACTTCTAATGAAATTGAGTGTCACTGGACTACTGGAGACTTTCAGTGACCAACTATCTACTGCGCTCGTGCCCAAGAAAACAAAATGTACTCTCTACTTCAAGCCCTACCAAAAATGGGACATAGTCTTCCACTACACTAAAATTTAGCCCATGATCGAATCAACTTATTCGAATTCAACTTGGATAGGACTTGTATTGGTTGGACATGAAATATTTGACTCAAGTTCGTAATATTTATCCTGTTTATATATAAAATAATCAAACTATTCAATTCGATTTATTTTGGACTTGACTTATTTGAATGAATTTTTTGTCTTATTTAAAAAAACAAGCTTAAAAATATTTGCCCCAAACACGCAAAACTTAGCTCGTTTGTATGTAAAATAGTTGAATTACTCGAGCTTGGTTCATTTTGGGTTTAACTCATTTTTTTTACTAGTCGAGCTCCGATAATTTTTTAAACTTGTTTAAAAGAAAAAAAAGTTTGAGAGATTTAACTCGATTGTGAATTTTGAACAATATTTTATGCATGAGAGGTTTAAATGAATCTAGTTATTCATATTATATGCAAATCCATGGATCAAAAGTTCGTACCGACAATGAGTTCGCAATACACAATCTTTGGCACTTTGGCTCGGTCTGACCGACTCATTTTAAGACCACCAACCTAACCATGTGTCGAACAAAGGTTAAATTTCTGAGTTGGCAGGATGTAATTGGATGGAATAATAGTCTTCGGTGCGGTTAAAAGTAGTGGATAATTCTGCAGAGTGGAGGGCTTTTCATGAGATTCTGCTTTGACAAAAATAAAAAATAAAAACTATTGGCGCTAATGAGAGTCCACGACGTTGTTGACTGCTGAGATAAAACGTAAGTAATCGAATAAACGGCGGGGATTCTGTAATGGTAAAACGCGATGGCTATAATCTAATGACTGATCGAATGAGATTCATTGTGGAATGCTAATAATCTTATGTGTTAGGGGCTTTTTTTTTTTTTTTTTAACGTGGTGTACCACCGTTATATTTTATTTTGGATAAAGTTCATTCACACCTCTAATATTTGATTAATTTACACGGAGACCCTCTAACATTATAAAAATAACACAACAACCACTTGACCTTTACGGTGTTCAACAGAAGTATCCATTATCTATAAAGGAAGTTAGAAACTCTCACAGAAAATGATGACCTCAGCTAAATAACACATTATATTTTCAACATTGCTGCCATTAGCTTCAATCCCATTCCTAGGCCTAAATTCATCCCCATTTCTATATTAAAATAAAACTAAGATCCATGACTCATATCAAAATCAAATTCTCTGCAATTAACCCGGTAACTAAGCTAGTGATTCCCCCCCCCCCCCCCCCGGGCAATCATTGTACATAGGCCACTATCACCCTTTGTTACCACCCACGCACACTTTCCTCTCAAAATCACCACCAACCATTAATCAATCACCACCAATTCATTAATTACGATTCAACATCGGTTAAAAATAATGCTAGAAGTGTGAATATGAACTCTTAAACACTCTTTCCTTATAAATCGGTTTTCAAGGATAAGTTCTGCTCATGAATTCATAAGAATTGGTATCAAGGCTAGCCATCATGTCGAATATAGAATTGAACGCAATGTGAGTTACGACTTTCTGTGGTTAAGTAATAAAATGAGCGACTTATAGGTTAGATTAAGATAACTTAGTATTATGAATGAATATACTACTATTTTATTGAATACTATATCTGAGTAGAGATGTCAAAGATAAAAGGCTATCATTGGGTTAGTGTTGATAGAGTGAGATGTCGTGAACATCAGCTCTAGAAGTGTGGTAAAATGTTATGATTTCACATCAATTAAAAATAAGACTAGATGTGTATATATAAACTCTTGAGCATTTTTCTCTTATAAGCCAAATTTTAATGGCAAGTTATACCAATGGGTTCATGAACAACACTCAACCACAAAAATCTGTCACCCATCCACTGCAAATCAAATACACTAACATCCTTTGTCACCCACACACTTCCACTTCAAATCAAAACTACTACACACTCTTTCAAAACCACATTCTTCTCTTAAAACCACCACCACCACAATCACCTCTATTCATCCATCCACCGCAAAACCAAAAATAGTTCAACAAATCAAACCACCCAAAATCACCAATCACTATCTTCACGTAACAGATCAAAGAGAGAGATAGAGGGATGATCTAGATTGACGCACCACTTTCACGTATTTGATATGGGATCAGATTCTAGATTTGATTCCTCATTTGAGTAGAGTTGAGGTAGGTTTTTGTGTTCATTTGTAGGTTTTACATGCAGGAATTTGAATTGTGGGAAGGGTTGGGACAGGGGGCAGGGGGCAGGTCTAGGGTGGTGGTTGGTTTCAATACGATGAGGGTGGAGGAGAGGTTGAGGAAAGAGGTTGCCCCAAGTCCCAAGCGTTGTTTTACACCAAAACGACTTCGTTCTATTTAAGAAATTGAAGTAATTTTATATCAAAATGACACTGTTTTAATCAACAACATCTCTATTGTTAATTTTTTAATAATAGAGGATCCTCATCCGAGAGAGAGAGAGAGATGTGGGGCTTGGGGTTAGGGGCAACATGGGAGGGGTTGGGGTGGTAAGAGGGATTTGGTGGAGGGTGTAGAGAAGGAGGTTGTGGGAAAGTCTACAAAGAGAGATGAGGTTATGGGTAATTAGTTTGGTCCCATTTTTTTTTTTAATTTTTTATTTGAATTCATCTTTTTTAAAAAAAAAAAAATAAGGATGAAAATATAATTATACCATGCTTGTAAACGCGGGACACATTTGGAGGCTAATAAAGGGTGGCCGTGCTATTTTTGTTATATCAAGGGGTCTTAGTGTCAATTGATCAAATGTCAAAGGGCGTGGGTAAAATTTACCCTTTTATTCTTTATCCAATCACAACTATATAGACAACTTTATTATTATTTTTATTACACTTAATAACATCAAGCAACTCAAATCAAAACCCACATAATCCTTTTCGGTATACCCACTAACCTTATCATAATCATACAGGCTATAGTGCATTTATAAGGACAACGGACATGTGGAACCCTCCAATGTTATTTGACATACCAAGTTTCAATATTCAAAATTTACGTTATAATCCCCGTCCTACGTTTTGTCTTCCTCTTTGAGTTCACCTCTCAAATAAGGTAGTATGAATTATGGTTATACAAATAAAAAAAATATTTTCCAAAAGAAAAAAAAAATCACGGGTCAATTTATTGGAATTTGAGTTTGGGTACTGTTTGAAATAGGGAGCATATCCACCTCACCAATACCAGAGATATGTCATCTACCATTTGCACACTTGTACGTGAATTGTTTTAAATTTTAATTATGGTCGTAGATTTTTATTGCTAGTTATAGAGTTGTGTAAATTTATATGTTCAAGAGGGGGAGATCATGGAAAATGTCTTTAGGTGTCATAATTGAGGTTTTTTAGTTTTTGTTTGTTGTTAAAGCATTTAAAATAAAATTAGCATTTTTAGCATAGAAAAAGCATGAAATATGAGTAATTACATCGAAAATATGAAATAAATAAAAAAAAAACCAAAAGTTTATTGTTTTTTCTTCAAGGATATAACATCAACCCAAAAAACAAGAAACAACATAGACATAAATCTTGACTAAAGCTATCTACTGTTGAAATGAGGATTTGATGAAAGCTAAACGAGGGACAAGACCATTCTGAATTTGGAGTAGTCTGCTACAGGTGAGAGAGCTTCTTGAGAAAGCTTTTATGTGGTAGATTAGAGATGGTAAATAGGTGAACTTCTGGGATGACAAATGAATCCCCTTTCTCCCCTTGCTTGGCAATTGAAACACCAAAACCCCAGGCATCACCCAGGTTGTTGAGTTTATAAAAGAAAATTTGAGGGAATGGAATATTCCAATGTTCCAAAACTCTGTGTCGACCGAAGAAATGAAAGCTATCCGGGGCGAAGGGAGACAAGGGCTAGGGTGGGCAAGTCCCTTCTCCCCTAATTTTTTTTTATTAGTTAGGTATATATATTATATATTTGTATAATACATTATTTGTGTCCACTTAAAACTCAAGATAAAAATGTTAGATCCATATTATTTACCCAAAAGAATTAAAAATTTAAGTCTATTTAAAACAAAAAAAAATCAAATCTTTTACCTATCACAAACCTATTAACAAAATAAAACTTTTGGCCCAACATTAAAAACAAAACTTTTGCCCCCCCCCTCAATTTTTTTTTTGTTTCATATTAAGCATGTATTTTTTGAAATAAATTTTAAACATATTAATTGTGTCCACCCTAATATTGAGTTATGGTAATATTGATTTGAATAGACTCCTACCTAAATGATTGTTAATTTTGTGAACAATGTTATTGAAATCTAATTTAAAGACTTAA